CTCATATCTATATTGGTAAGTGTAACGAAGGAAGAGAAAAACAAAGTGGAGTTTCCTCGCTTCATCACTTAAATCTTGCTCTGCAGTAGTCTGTGTTGGAAACAGCTCACAGCTGAAATATTCATTCAAACAGAAGACCAGTGTACGTATAACAGCTCATAAGCACGTGACTATCTTCAGCAAAAGGACAACTTTAAGACTTCTAAGTTCGATATTAATCTGTTTTTTAAGAGCCACGTCAAGAGAAACTAACGGCACCTGCATGACTCACCCGCTATATTAACGGAGATAAACGGTAGCCGTTATATTTAAGGGGCTAATTTACCATCAGGCAATTTAAGAGGTATCTGCTTAAAAGTCATTTTAGGGGACTACACAAAAATACGGGAGAAGTTTAATGGGCTTAACAATGGGTTTTGCTTATATATTCCTCTTTAGATCAACTTATTCTCCGACGCTTAGCAGCCTCTAAGAAAGACGGGTGCGTTGCATATATTTCTCCACTCCGCACACTCTCTCATTCTGCATTTGTCTCCGAAACCATCAATTGACAAAGACTCATATATTCTGAGGTTAGAGGTAGTTATATATTTGAGTTCATTCTTGATCTATTGATTGTTGCCGTTTATTTTTCTTTAATTTTATCAGTAAATAAATATTTTTATTATTTTGGTATAAAAGATACCTTAACCTTTTCATCAAACTTTACATTCCCACAAATCTCCTGCATGTTTCAACTACAATATTTCTCACAGCATAGATAAAGAAATTGAATCCATTCACTTAAATTAAAAGCTAAGCCCTCGGTTTTTCCTTTGATCCAGATAAAGGATTTAATCTCTGCATAAATTCAAACAATCTTCCTTCATACCGCTGACCACCTCCAAACAAAACATTGTTCCTTTCCAACCAAATAGCCCACAGCACTATACAATAAGTGAGGGACCCCAACTTCTTATTTTACAAAATAAATCCAACACAAACTGCAAACATAAATCATTAATTGACTCTCGGCATACAAAGAAAACATTCCACAAGTTGCTGCACTTCATCCAAATTTTAAAGGATACAAGTAGCAAATAAATTAGGTTAATTTATACTAACGATATCTATTAGTCCAAGTGATAGGAGACCTGATCTTCTTAAGTAAAGTCTTAAATTTGATTCTTGTGAATAGAAAAACTAATTTTATGAGGTTTAACTCAGCTCAACTCCATACTAATAGGGGCCTAATGTGACTTTCATATACTAGGGGTTTAGAGTATGTTTGGTATAACAATTAAAATTCAATGGTAATGGGTAACAGGTAACAAATAATGGATAGCAGTAGCAAGTAACAGGTGGTAGTTAGTAAATAACGAGTGACAGATAGCAAAAAGTTGATAGTGAATAGTAGATAATGGATCTTAATTGATATAATTATTTAATTATACAATAATTAGCAATTTAACCTTAAATAATCAATAAGGACATGGTTAAAAGCAATTAAGTATATTTTTTTCTTTTTTTATCTTTTATTATTAGAATTATTAATTTCATAAAAATAACACATTTTTATTTTTAACAAAAAAATTATATTATTTTTAAATAAAAAACAAATATTTAATCATTTCATCTAATTATTAAATTTTATTTTTTAAGTTAGTGCAATTTTTTAATTATAAATTAATGTAAACAAATAAAAATATAATAATCACTTAATATTATTGAAGAAAAAAAAACAAAGTTAAAACTAATTAAATAAGCATGAATTAAAAATTGTAGTAAAAAATAAAAAAAAATTAAAATAAATAAATTTGTCAATAAAATTAACAATTTTTAATCCACTAGCAATTTGATACAAAGAGTTTTTTTAATTCGTTAACAACTTGAATTTGAATTGTTATCTATTAATCTAATACTGCTAAATAAAATTTTTTACCAAATACTTAATTTATAACCATTTTGAAAATAAGCAAATTTATCAAACATTTTACATTAACAGTTTGGGTAAAATAACTAACTACTACCCCCATAATACTATACCAAATAGGGCCCTTAGTACCAAAAATAAATTAGGTCTATACAACATAATATTCTTAAGTATAAAATCAATTAACTTAATTATATACAATCAATTAAAATGTGAACGTACTAATATAGTATGAACACCAATACTCTAACACCCCAGGTATACTTCCATCTTGGCATAAAAACTAGTGATAGACTCATCACGTTACTATTTCAAATTATGTAACCCTTCTCACAGTTAATACTATCTAGATATATCAGAAGTAGCATACCTTGTTGCAAGCAAATCCCACACCTCGTTATCTGTATCATACCATGCAAGCTGGAGGTGGATGGAAGGAGTGGAGGAGTTACGTAACCAAGAATAATCTAATGATTTTTGCTATCCTAGTCCTCTAAGTGTTCTGCAAATTTCTCATCTGCCTCACCGGTAACTTCCTTTGGAGGTTTAATATCACCTAACTTATATTGCCATAATTCTGGTCCTTCAAGAAACTAAGCATTCCTTGAATCCAGAGTAGGTAATTTGATCCACCAAGGATTGTGGAAATTGGTTGTGTTACATCAGACTTCTCCATAATGATGAGAAATAACCGAAGGGACTGAATCATACGGCAAACGTGTTATCATTGTAAAGCAGTAATTTAATATTCCATTGTGTAAAGCAGTAATTTAATATTCCACTGTTAATATAGAAGCATAATCAGCTTACCGAACAATCTTTCATGTAATATATATTTTTGTCTTGCAAGGCTGAGGTTGCGGCCAAACGAGCAGACTTGTCACTTGCACAATATGGCCTGTGATGAAATACAGATCACATTCACCGAAGACAAGAATGAGAATTTGAAGCGATTGGAGGAAACCGATGGAGGTCCATTGACATCAAACAAGCCATTAGATGAAATACAGATCACCGACGACGAGATTAAGAAATTGAAGTCATTGAGGGAAGCCGATACATCAAAGAAGCCATTAAAAATTCAGAAGGTTCCGAATATCCTGCGCTCGTGCTACGGTAAGAAGGATTGCAAACGATATTTCAAACCAACTTCTGTTGCGATCTGTCCCCTCAATCATCAAAGCGAGACTGACAAAGATTCGAGAATGGAAAGAGGGGAGAAGTGCAAACAAAAACTGGCGGCAATGTTCATCAAGGATGGGAAGGAGGTAGATTTCTACAAGAATGTCAAGAGGAAGATATATAGCTTGAAGAACTGCTATAACTTCAAAGATGTACAGAAATGGAGCGATGAGGAGTTGGCCTGGATGTTCCTAGTGGATGGCTACGCATTGCTGCAATTCATAGCCCTTGATGTGTACGATGAGTGGGAGTTCTTCAGTGATAATGATCCAGTCAGCATTGAGAAGGTTGATTTTTTCTTACTTGAGAACCAACTGCCCTACCAACTTCTTCAGATATTGATAGACTCGTTCGCTGAATTCTCAAGTGCAGAATTAAGACCAAAACTTAAGGTGTTATTCAAGGAATTAATCAACGAATTCATCAATAGGAGTTTCTTAAGTCTGAATCCGCAGGAAAAAAGTTAAAAACACCAAACTGAGATTGATTACTTTCAGCCTCCTCCTCCTCATCTTCTAGACTTGTTGCGACGAAGACTAACGATTGAGTATTTTCAGCTTCATTATTTTCAGCCTCCTTGTCTAGACTCGTTGCGAAGAAGACTAACGATTAATTGTAATTTTCAGCCGCCTCATCTTCTAGACTAGTCGCGATTTAAAAGATTGATCATGGGAGAGAAGGATGAGAAACAAAAACCGACTAAGAAAGATGGTTTTTGGGAGACATTGACTGATGATAAAAGCTGTTATACATCTGTTGTATGTACCAAAAAAAAAAAAGAGGAAAAGCTGTTCTGTTCATAACAGAAGCAAACACTGGCCTTCAATTCGAAACGTAAAGGAGCTGAAAGACAAGGGTGTTCGTTTTAAAGCGAGGGAAAAGGGAGGTGCCATCACAGTCATTGATTTCAAAGACCGTTATTGCATGGCAACCCTTACGCTGGCTCCCATTTTTGTGCACAATATCACTGTGCCATTGTTGCTGAATTTGATAGCGTATGAGCTGTGTCCAGATTTCAAAGAAACTTGCAAGATCACCTCGCACTTATCATTCCTCGATTCCTTGATTGATAATGGGGAGGATGTGAAGCAACTGAGAGATGCAGGCGTGCTGCACAACGGATTAGGAAGTGATGAAGCTGTAGCGGAGCTGTTCAACAAGATCAGTGGTATGCTGGTGCCAAATCTTACGATCGACTTAGAATTGAGACATGGTATCAATGCATACTGCGATCAATCACACTTCAGCGGTCTAAGAGCCAGCGTCGAGGCTAAACTCACTCACATCTATTTTAGGAGTCCTTGGAGCTTCTTGGTCTTACTCGGTGCCTTAGCAGGTCTTATTATGACAGGTATGCAAACTTATTATAGCTTCCACGAAAACAAGCCCTACTACTGAAACTTTAATTACCATATATATATATATTAACAGCGTTCTTAAAGTATGTCTTAAGAGTCAATTGGGTAAATAAAATAATTTTATGTATTTGTTGTTATTATGATTATTTTTGCCTTCATTATAGGCCTTACGAACTACACCGACAGCTAATAAGTTGGTCAATATATATTGCGTTGGTACACATTTATACTGAGAAACAGTTATTAGTATAGTAATAGAGAATTACACTTTTTACCAAAAAAAAAAAAAAAAAAAAAAA